GGAAAAAGTTGCAAACGACCTTGTGACAATAAAAGAAAGCCTGTCGCGCTCAAAAAGTCGCTTCCTAATGCCAGATACATTTTTTCAGTTCAATAACAGCAGATCACGTTCCGATAAAAGACAGAAGGTTAAAAAAAGCGTCGTCAAAATAAGCTTATCTTGTAAAACGTTTTTGCGCGAAAGAATGATAAGCTACCTTTGTATTCGATGGCAATCTAGTCAAAAAAATAAATGAAATATCCAAAATCAATGTTTATTAAGCTTCAAGAATATGAACGTTTTATAGGGATAGCGCGAATAATTTTTACACTATTTCAGTTTAGATGGAAACGCTGATTTACCTTCTTTGTTACCTTTTGATTGTCAAGCATGAAAACCAACAGTCTGGACCGCTCCGTGAGGCCATTTTATTGCTCCGTATATTTGCCCTGTTTTACAATCTAATATATTGGCAGATGCTGTGCATTCTCTACACCTTATTTGGTAAAAGGACGTAGCTTTTTTCCTTTTCCCCTTCAGTTTCCCCGTCCGATTCTTTTTTACCCAACCCCTGTCCCCCTCCCATCATCTATGCTCCCTGTAAGGGTTTCCATCGTAAAGGGTCTGGAGAAAATTGGGTAACCGGCCAACCGCATCTAAATTATTATCTTCGCTTTCTTTTCGTCTTTTTCTTTACCTTGAGAAGTGTACCTACTGTACCGACAGCAGCGATTGTTCCTTGCTTAATTCCTGTTATAGAGATAACGTCTGTAGAGAATATTGTAGCTTCTGTGCGTCCGACTTGGAATGTGGAACGAGCGAGAAGTGCTGTAACAACCACTTGTACATAAGTAGTTGGTCTTCTTGTTCCTGTTCTTTCGAATTGGAACGTGACACTGGCAAGCAGTGCTGTAGCAGCACGTGCACCAGTATTTTGTCCTTTTGTTCCTCTTCGATCGACTCCGAATGTGAGAGTTGTGAGAAGTGCTCTACCTATAATAGCACATGCATCAACATTTTGTATTCTTGTTCCTGTTCGCTCGATTCCGAATGTGACAGTGACGAGCAGTGCTGTAACAGCTGTCCTTGTTTCTGTTCGATCGACTCAAACTGTGACGGTGGCGAGAAGTGCTGTACATCTGAGAGCAAATGCATCAAAACTTCGTCTTGTTGTTCCTGTTCGCTCGACTCCGAATGTGACAGTGACGAGCAGTGCTGTAACAGCTGTCCTTGTTTCTGTTCGATCGACTCAAACTGTGACGGTGGCGAGAAGTGCTGAACATATAATACCAAATGCATCGACAGTTGGTCTTCTTCTTGTTCGTTTGATTCCCAGTGTGACAGTAGAGAGGATTTTTTAGGGGTAGTATGTTCGCCGTACTGTAGATGGAGCGGCGGAGCTATTGCAGGCGCTGTTATCTGTACAATTGACTTCTTCGCCATCATCGTTTCCATTGTATCATGCCTCTTCTGTGCTTGCTAACTATGCTACCACTATCGCAGACCCGGTGCTGTGGGGATAACCGGCCAACAGCCGCAACATCAGTTCGTCTCAACACAAACCCACATGATGATGACGCAGCAAGTACATCCTCCTCCACCAACTATAGCTAGCCTCTTCCAGGTTAGAAACTGCCTCCTCCAGGTTTCAATTAGGCTCCTCCGCCTTTTCAAAGCTATCCACCACCACGAAACCAATATCCTCCACGGCCAGGATTAGCTCAAACGGCACCGATGCCGGCTGGACAATCAAAAGAGTGAAAGAACTGCGAAGTAACTCTTTTGTTGAAATGAGAAATCTTCAGCGTTACTGTCCACTTAAAAATATGTAGGTGTTATCGATTACTTAAGATTCTTGATTGGTCTGCACGCTGTATATTTGCAAATTTAATTTTCCATCTCGCATTCGTTGTTTAAAGTAAAACAACAAGTAGTCATAAGTTTCCTGTGGAAAGGATTTTTGACGGAGATAGATTGTTGATACTATATTTTAGCTGCTGCCTCATTTACAGACGTGAGTATTCTTACTCCGCTTCAGGGAGATTTTTTACCTTTTCATTTTCTACTTAAGGAATGGTTAGTATGCAGGGTGCAACCATCGAGTTATGGATGCTTACGGGAGGTTGCTAAGCACGAAAAAGCGTAAGAGTCGCACGAGGCGATAGCCGAGTGTGACTGTAGCTTGTTGAGTGCTTAGCAAACCTCACAAGTCCATCTAGAACTCGATGGTTGCACGCTGCACGCTTACCATCTCTTTTATAACATTATGACTTGCAAACATCTTTCGTTTCGTGTATAAATATTTATCATATCTTAACCAAAGTAAAGCGCGCGCTCTGATTGATCAATTGAGATCCCCCATTTGCCCATGGGTGTGCGCTGCTGACGGGAGCAAATGCAAAGACCAGTTTTACGCGCGCTTGTTTTTTCTGGGCACGTAAGATTTGTTAAATAAAATAAAACTCCTTTGCTACAAAGTATCAATGTTTTGGCAACTTCCCGCTTGCATCCATGACTCAATAGTGTACGCAGTGGTTTTACCATCTGTTAATTTAATTCGTTCTGTTCAAATACAAGGAAAAGCACAATCAGCGCGCGAAAATGTTCATTCAAAAACTGACAAAGCGACACAGCAACATTTTTCTTGAATCATCGCAGTGGGATGGTATGCGTTTTTTTCCATCTCGGACTAATAAACAGTTTCAGACTGCGCAATTAGCCTAAATATTGAACTGGCAACAAGCGAAAGTGCTGTTAGTAAAACTTCGTCTCAGTTGGGTCAGTTTCCCGGAGAGTTGAAGACAAACTTCTCATTTTAAAAAGAGCAATCTTGGAGAGTGGTGCCACGATTTTTGTAAATGGTGAAGGAATTAATACTTGACGTGAACCATTGATCACTCGGACTGTGGATTTCTCTGACAGCACCACTGAGAAAGCCTTGGATACACAACGAGCAGTTAGGACCGAAAGCGCCCTTGACAGCACATCAATGCAATTTTGAAGCTGTGAAATGGATGGTTGAGCGTTGTAGTGGGCAAGACTGCTCGTTTCGATACGCAGAAATAGATGTTATATGTCCATTTGGGACACCAGCGTTGGACCACAGAGTTATGGCCATCGCTCTGATGCTGTGGTTTGTGAATATTTTGGACAGCCCAGCCGCCTCGCTAATTTTTTTCGTCATGTTTGCCAACGTGTTGATTCCTAGTGGCCGTTGCTCGTACCACACGTTTTCTTCAGGGCCGAAATCTGACTTGGGATATTGGAAAAACGCCCTCCATCTCGGGTTTATCTTTTCAAGATAGAGCTTTATAGCCTTGTAGCAGTCGTATTGGTCTGCAGTTTCGTATATTCTAGCTTCCTGTTCATTTCTGGGTTTGTTATCGACACCGTCGGGATGATTCTTCGAAGCTTCATCATGGGCCATGGTTGCGAATTTTCGCCCGCCTACATCGAAACCAAAATTAAAGTTTTTGGTTGTCAGACCTCTCTGTCCCTTACGGCCTCTCCAGCAAAAGAAAAGAGCGATAGAGAACAAGACATTTCTCAAAAGCGAGAGCGTGGAGGAAAACGAAAAAACGTCACTAGCTTTGAGCTGTTTGAGATGCTCTTCTTCAATAGCAGGTTTGTCGGTTACGTTTTCCTTTCCGCTTCGTTTTGAATTGACAAGTTACACGTCCAAGATTTGGTTTCACCGCAAAAATCTCTGGCCACTTGCTAGTTGGAGCCCTTTGTTGTATGTACGAGAGCTGAGACATCTTTCAACTCCGTGTCTGAATCCAAGCAAGGGGGGTTTACTTTATGGCTCCCCTTCTTGAGTTCGTGCCTCGGCGTAAAATCGCCGCAGGTTGTGGTCCAGCTGACCAATCGTCATGTTGTCGAGCTGTGTTTGTATAGTTTTCTCTGAGCACCAGACTGAAACTGAACCCGTGAATAGCTCAAACAAATTGATATCCGTTACCTTCTTTATTGAGTTCTGTAAAAACACAGACAGCTGAGGCTTAAAGGGAAAGACATTTTGTATAACTCACAAGAACAGTTTTGCTCGCCGGAAGCATTTAAAAAGCACCCCACGCAGGAAAAGTTTTACAATGAACGCTTGTACAGAATTTTATTATCGTTAAATCGCTGAGACACACTCTCTAAAACTGCTGCTATTTGTTACCCACCTCGAAAGATTGATACAAACCAGTTTGTTGTTTTCTCGGTCTTTTCTGAGTGTCTTTGTTTAACCAGCAGGTTAAGCCCCTGCTGGCTTAAGTTCGCAATTCTCGAACTCTTAGCTGGAAGTCCGTCAAAAAAATCAGCTCGAAGTTTGGCAGCTCACAAGAATTATCTTCATTATCTCCGGAAAAATTACAAATTTTTATCAGATTTCACAAGTAAAATACCCCACAGAAAAACATGAATTATGTTGTATATAGTGGCAACATCGACGAAAAAAGTTGTCTTGAAAAAAGAAAAACAAACGAACGAACAAACGAAACTGACGTCGGCGTGCAACCCACGGGCAAATGGATCGAGCATATATGTCAATCAGAGCGCGCGCTTTTGCTAAGCTATGTTATAGTTTTACATATAGCTGATCGGATCTTTAACATATCTATCGACAGCTAATGCTATATAGGTGTCTTGTCTCAATTTTGTAAATAATGTTTTTTTTTAATACGCCTTTGTGTGTAACGTTCCGTTTGATATACCAGTGACTGGTTCGCAAGTGAATTGTACATCAGATATTCCGAATTTTTTCTTTCGCTCTTGTAAATGCGGCGAAAGTCTCGTCTGACTCATTCATTGACATATTGCTATTGGGGTTGTTTACTTAAAACTAAACTGACGATACACGTCGAGACGAACCAGTTGAAAACGTTTGTATACGGTTGCTCTTGGCTTTTGTTATTAAACCTAATCATGTCTTTGTCGCGTTCGCTTTCTCTTGACGAAGCTTGACGAAGCTTGACGAAACAGACATTAATCAGCAAATAACAGGCGGTTAAAAGTTCCGATTTTTTTTTGCTATACTTATCATCTTGCCGATGCAAACACTAACTAGTAGGGCATTGAGAGACCCAAAACTTGCCTACTGCAAATAAGAACACGCAAAGAGATTTTACTGAACAGCGCCCAAGTTGCTTTGGTAACGGATTCGACTGGCTGCCTTTCGTATTTTATAAATGCAGATGTTTAGACTTTTATAAATATTTTGAAATCGCACAGAATTAATAAGTTTCCTCTTCGTACGATATCCGGTGTGAAACTTGAGATGAATGTTGTGGGAGAGTGTGTTCGTCGTACTGTGGTTGGGGCGGCGTGTCGAATACAGACACTATTATCGGCGCAATTATTTCCTTTGCCATCATAATCATCGGGAAATATCTTTTTGGTGTCCAGCGTTAAGTGAGAATGCCGCCAAAAGAACTACCTGAAAAGCAACAAGAGAAGCCCACCACAAGCCAAAGCCAAACAAATGAGTCTCAGGAGTCACCGAAGAGGCCTCTTCATAAGCCAACTACAAGCCAGAGCCAAACAAGTGAGTCGACAGAGCCGCCAATAAAGCCACAAAACATTAGCAGCAAAAACCAGAGCCAAAAACTTGAGTCACCAGAGCGACCGAATAGGCTACTACACAAGCTTACTATAAGTAAAAGCCAAACAAGCGGGTCGACGGAGCCACCAGCAAAGCCACAAAAAATTTTCCCTGTAAGCCAGAGCCAAACACATAAGTCGACGACGAGCGGATGGCCGATAACCAGGGATGAGTTTCTCATGTGGTTCTGGGACACTGCTAATAGTAATCAATTGATTTTAGACCTAAACAGATATGCTAGCTCTAAGGGTCGGAAAGAACGCATTCGCCTAGAGATATACAGACCTGTCATTTATGCCATTGTCCTTCACGATGGTTCTTTTCCATTCAAAGCAAAAGATGAAAATGTTGAAAACGGAACGGAAGAGCAGTGGAAGTTGTGCAAAGTTGGATTTACACAAAGGAGTGTAAACAATAAGATGAAGGAGGTAAGAGACCAGATAAAGAAGACTTACAAGCCGAAGAACTGGGAAGAGGCGACGACATCTACACTGTTCGCATTACCATTCAGTGCGATTGACACCAACTTGCATCATGACACAGAAAAGAGAATACGGGAAAAGCTTGGGAAAAGTGTAAAAAAGGAGAAAGCTGTGGAATTAGATTTGCCTGTTACTACAGAATGGGTTCTGACGACACAGAATCACATTGACGATATCATGACATTGATTGAGAAACGTCGTAGCGAGGGGCTTGAGGCTGATTTAGATATATTCAAAGAAATTAAAGTTGTCCCAGTGCCTCCTAAGAAAGAACAAAAGAAATGGTTGAAGGAGCAAGTATAAGCTCCTCCGCCGAAGAACGACCATCCTCCTCCAGGCTACAGTCAGCTTCCTCCTGGTTTCAGTCAGGCTCCTCCACCTTACTCAAGCAATCCACCACTACCAAATCAATATCCTGCACCTCCAGGACAAGCTCAAGCGGCGCCGATGCCGGCTGCATCTAACGCTCGACAACCGAACAAGTTCTAACTAAAGTAAACTGCGATGCAACTCATCCGAACATAATACTGCTCTGATGATATGAGTAACCTTCGATTTTACATCTATTTACAAAGGTATAGACGTAGTCTATAATTAAAATTATTGACTAATCTGTACTTTTACAAGTTTGATATTCCATATGTCGCTTTCTTCGTTCAAAGAATAACAAAAAGTAGACATAGGCTTCTTGTGGAAAGCATATTTGTTGGAGATACGTGCGTTTGGCCATCGGCAACGATAATTGTATTCCAGAATGAATGTCGTATACTTAGAACTGTAGTTTCACTTTAAGTGTCATATCAGTCAAGCCGCGGCTGTATTTAGCACAGTTCTGTGCTTCATTGAGATTTTCATGATTGTGAATGCCGATCGTGTCGTACAGAAGTAAAATTGACATAGCATATTAAAACCAATATTTTAACATAGCGTGTAAATTCCTACAATGAAATTCAATAGCGCGAGCCTGCTTCAATTTTCCATTGTGCACGCTCGTAACGTCAGCCAACAAATGCCTCGCGAAAATATTTTTTTTCTCGCGATTGACTTCAGCATTCTTCATTAAAAAACGGGAAAAACGTCCGCAAAAAAGTTAAACTAGACATGGCAACAAGCGAACAAGCCGATGAAGATCTGCCTACTTTCTCTTTGGTAAAGGGTTTTTAACTCCCGAGAAAGAACCTAAAGAAAGAGAAAACAAAACAATCAACGGGTTTCATCTGGTTTCGAAACTCTAACTTCATTTCCACGCATGAATGCACCTGTCAGTTTTTGACCAATCTGAGACAAGATAATTGAAGCATGGCGAAATACTTTTCCGAAACAAAATAAACAACGCATTGAAGCGTATGAGAGGGAATTTCCGCCCTTTATACATAAACTGCAGCGTTGAAAATATTATAAAACAAGTGGTTCATACGTCATCTGTGCGTTTATCGAGATATGAAGCACTTGGGAAGTTTGGAAAGTACTCAAGAAGCTAGAGTTGCTCTCGGCTACGCCTCGAGCAACTCTTATGCATCTTTCGTGCTCTCCAAACTTCCCGCTTGCTTCATATCTCGATGAACGCACGCTGACGTAGGAAACAATTGTTAAATATATTTACGTTATACGCTTGGTTTTTGTTTCTATTTTTCACGAGCATATCTTATTCAGGAAGATTTGTTACCTTTCCATTTTCTACTTTTAGCCGATCGGATCCTTAGGCGATCCATCGACAGCATATGCCCTGTTGATGCCGAGCAGTATTTACATTTGTGTGTTGTCTCAGTTTTGTGAATAATAAATTTTTATGCATACTTGATTTTTGTGAATAATTAATTTGTGTTAGTCCCCAGCCGCGTGCAAGGTTTGATATGTCGATGGCCTGCCCGCAGGGGTGTTTTTGCTTCGGATAGTCAGAGCTTTTGCATTGTTCTTGTAATAGTGGCGAAAGTTTCGACCGACCTATTCAATGAGGAATTCCTCTTGAGGCTGTATTCTTGAAAGTAAACAGACGAGACATGTCACCGCCAACCAGGTGGAAACATCTGTATACGGTTGCTTATGGCTTTCAGTATTAAAATACCATGCCTTTGTCGCGTTCGCTTTTCTACCCAGAAATTTGACGAAACAGAGTCTAATCAGCGAATACAAAGTGGTTAAAGTTCTGATCTTGTTTTGCAATATTTATTATAATTTTGAAAATGCAGATGCTATTTTGTAGGGCTTTTTGAGACCCCGCATCTACCTATTACAGACAAAGAAAAACACAGATGTTTCACTAAACAGCGGCCAAGTTTGAGTTGGCAGGGATTTCGATGATTGCAGGTTGGCTCGTGAGGAACTAAACTGCAAGAAAACAAGGCAAATTTCTATAATCATTTTCATGGAGTTTGCGTGATGTAATTACTATAATCTTAATTTAGCCGGCTGCGTTGATGCTTATAAGACGCTGATAAAGCATGCTCAGTACCAAAACAAAGGTTACTTATATAGAAACGCTTTAGTTACTCAGAATTCAACCCTCTAGGTGTTCGTAAGATAAATATGATCCTTACTGCTGAAATAATTTTCGATAGAACTGAAGGCAAATAAACCACCTTCCGGTTAGCTCAATTGGTTAAGCGCCGCACTGTTGTGCGGGAGGTCGAGGGTTCGAGCCCCGGCCGGACCAACACTCAGGGTCTTAAAAGACTATGAGTTTCCATGTGCCCAGTGACATGATCCTAATCCGAAAGCGTTCCTTCCTGACTACTACGTAACTCCTATAATGTGCATTTTTAGACTTTTATATTTCGAAATCACACTGAGTTTCGTTTTGTTATTCAACCATTACAGGGATAAGTAAGACCGGAAAAAGTTCTGTATCAGTTATCTGAAACGGAAAGAACGAGCTGGGAGAGCTTGATCTCCAAATGAGCGAGTATTAGACGAAAAGATCGCTTAACATTGCGGCTTACAGGAGCCTTTAAAAACGAACTGCTTTAGGTTGATACTGTAATTAAACTGCCGCTTATACACGGAGGGGCTTTTTTCCGATGGGGCATCTGACCGGAATAAAAAAGCGCCTCGAAACAAGCTGTAGCAGTGCTAATCAATACAGTCGCATTTGCTGATTCCTAATGACGCTTCAAGACGTCATCAAATAGAGTTCATTTCAATACATTTGGAACAGAATAAAACTAGCAACACGAACAAAGCTGGAACAAAATAACAAAAAGGATGTCGCCGTCGACTCATGTGTTTTGCGTTAGCTTGTGTTGGGCTTCTTTGGTGGTATTCTCAGTTTGATAATAAAAACAGAACAAAGCAAGCTTTTGAACGGCGCTGTACCAATGTATGTTTGAGGGATTTGCTGCTCTGCTGCACATTTGACATGAATATTCAAGTAATGGGAAAGCTAAAATAAACTTCGAGTGAAAAGTCTAAACAGCGAGCGGGGGATGAGTTTCTCACGTGGTTTTGGAACTCTACAAATGGAAATGATTTGATCTTAGACTTAACGAATTTGCCAATACTAAGAGCAGATAACGTCTGCAGAGAAAAATTTTCGTACTGTTCGTCCAACTCCCAATGTAGAGCGAGTGAGCAGTGCTTTTAAAATAACAAATGCATCAGTAGTTGGTTTACTCGCTCCTGGTCACACGACTCCGAATGTGACAGTGACGAGCGATGCTGTAACAGCGAATACGTCAGTAGTACGTCTCCTAGTCCGAGTTCGTCCCACTACGAATGCGACAGTGGCAAACCATGCTGTAACAGCGAATGCGTCAGTAATATGTCTTCTTGTCCTTGTTTACACGACTCCGAATGTGACAGCGGCGAGCAATGCTGTAATGGCAAATGCATCAGTGGTTTGTCTTCTTGTTTCTGTTCGTACGACTCCGAATGTGACAGTGGCGACCGATACCGTAATGGCAAATGCATCAGTAGCTCGAGTCTCCTTGTTCCTGTTCGAACGACTACAACTATGACACTGAAGAGGAAAGTTGTGGGGGAGTGTGTTGATCGTACTGTGGTTGGAGCGGCGTGTCTATTGCAAATGTTATCATTATTGGCGCAACTATCTTCATTGTCATCATCATAACGAAATATCTTTTTAGTGTCTGGCGAGAACGAAGAATGCCCACTACAAGCCTACGGCAAACTCATGGGTCGACGGCGAGGGGATGGCCGAAAACCTGGGATGAGCTTTTCACGTGGTTCTGGGACCCTACAAAGGGAAATCAATTGATGTTCGACCTATGCAATTTTTCTAATACCAAGGAATGGATTCATGATCGCATTCGCCGAGAGAAATACAGCCCTGACATTTATACCGTTGTCCTTGATGATGATCCTTTTCCATTTAAAGACGAGGCGAAAGAGCTGTAGAAGTTGTGCAAAGCTGGTTTTACTCAACAGAGTATTGAAAAGGGTACAAACAACAGAATAGAGCAAGTAGAGAAGAAAGTAAAGGACGGTTATAACAAAAGGAAACAGGAGCGGATGAAAGACGGAGAGAAATTTAAACCTGAGGATGCATCTACGCTGGTTGCACTACGGATCGGAGCAGTTGACACCACATTGGATCATGACACAGAAAAGAGAATACGGTGGGAAACCGTTGAACTGAAAAAAAGACGGCTGAGGAATTCAAATTACCTACTCCTATAGTGTGGGTTCTGACGACACAGAATCCCATTTATCAGATCAAGAAATTAATGAGAAAAAGTAAGTGTAAGACATATTCAAATATATTTAAAGATGCCGAGGACACCACAATACCGCCTAAGAAAAAAGGAGAAGTGTGGTTGGAAAGAGAAAAACTCGAGTTGCTGCGAGTTAATTTTAGGTAGCATTACCTCTGCCGCATACTTCTTGCCTATACTACAATTATCGTTCACCCGGTACTGTGGTCATCACCCAGCAGCCGAAACAACAGTTTGTCCTAACTCAGACACACAGGAGACGACGCAGCAAGTACAAGCTCCTTTGCCGGTAAACCACAACAAGACCCCTCCTAGTTGCAGTCAGGCTCCCCCGCCTTACGTATACTCAAGCAATCCATCCAAATCCACCACCACCAAACCGATATCCTAGACCGCCAGGACATGCTCAAGCGGCGCTGATGTTGGCTGCAGTAAACGCTGGACAATCGAACAAGCTCTAACTAGAATAAGCTGGGATGTAATTCATCCAAACAGAACATGTTGCGGTGAATGGTTTTCTTTCCATTTACAAGAATGTAGACGTAGTCAATAGCTTAAGATTCCTTATTGATCTACACTTTGTATTCCATTTCCCTTTGTATTCCCCATATTCCCATAATGAGGCTTATACATGGGGAGCTTTTATCCGAGGGGGCACTTAAACCGGAATAAAGAACCGCTTCGAAACAAGCTCTTGCAGTGCCTTTGCATTTGCTGGTTTCTGGCGATTCATTTCAACGCATTTGAAACAGAATATAACTAACAACACGAACAAACTGGAACAAAACAAAACGGCAGTTCAGACAGTTCTCATGAGGT